TGATACGTTATGACGTCACAGCTAAGCCCCGCCTCTGTGGTCTTGGCCTGCGGCGGTTTCGGGCCGGCGCGCGGTCACTCGCGCTGTGGCGGGAAGCGGGGACGGTCGAGCGGTGCCGAAAGCCGGCGGAGTTGTGCGTAACGTCTTGTCTGACAGTGCCCAAAGAGCGACATGATGACTGAGGAGCCATAAATGCTCATTGCGCATTGCTTGTACAATGCTGATATGTTCGCTGACGTCTGATATTTGTTTTATTTTTCATAAGCTGCAACTGACGGGCAGATGGCATATACCTGACACAAGGCTAGGAAATATTCACCTGTATTTAAAGCCTATGGCGTTGCAGATAATGTGATAATGGGATGTCGGATGTCATCAAGTAGTTGCTGATTTGTACATCGCTATGCAACAATCGAACAACGCAATAATTAATTAATTGCCTTCGCTTCACATCATAAGGCTCGCTCGTATTTCAAACATACCTATATCCTACATCGAAAATCGTATTTGTTAGGAATCTTTAACGTTTGTTCGAAGTATGTGTGAGTAGTAGGTTGAGGAGTGATGGTCCTCTTGGTCCTATATACGAGAGTCAACAAGAGCCTAACATTTACTTGACCGTCTGCTGCAATTGACACATAGCACGTGAAGCGTCAGCGAAATTCATAGTCTTTTACAGATGGCAGGGGTGTCGTTTGTACAGAGGTCGCTGATGGGCACGGGTCAATGCCGCAGTCGTGGGCGGAGCCTAATGTCATATGACGTATGAAAGCCTCTATCCAGGATGGAAAAGCAGTTAACATTACGAGTCAATGACAAGTGCCACAAATATTTAAGTGACAACAAAACGTATTTGAAGAAAAAGTTTCGGCAGGTCTTGAAACAGCTATTTCCTAAATATGGTTGAAATTCTTCCACGCATTAAAAAATAATCGCAAAAAAATAGGGTCTCAAGGGGTCTGGCGTTAACAGTAGCATTTTCAAATCTCTTCCATGATACTCAAACTTGCGCATCTCCTCACGAGTGCACCGTACCGGCGCCTCGTTCGCCGGGCTAAATCGGTCGCGTCACCCCAGTTTCCTCCCTGTGCTGTTCGTCCATGTGTCCGTCACCGCCCGCCAGCTGGATGACGTCACTGTTCACCCCTCCCTCTCTCCTCTCCCTCCCCTCTCTCCCGGGTGAGTGACGTTTTTAACAGCTCGACTTGGTCAGGTGCGCTCCCAAGTGACGGATAAAAACACCCCCTCGCGCGCGACCCGCCCCGCCGTGCGCCCAATTAATCTGAACAAGATGTAACCAGATGCGGCCATGTCGGTCTGATTTTGTGACATGAGGGGCGCGTGGCGTACGGGGTAGAACACGACTGGAGTCATTCCCTGAGCCCCCTCCGCAGCCAGCGGAGCTGAGACCGGAACTCACTGATCACTTCTCCAGACAAATCGGCAGGTTTCCAAGGATGAGAGGAAGTACTCGAAATCGGGGATATTGTTTAATGTTTAACCGGGCTATTGTTGGGCGATAGTCGAACAAACATCCTGGCTCAATATCGTCCAATATCGATTGTCTTCCCATCAAATCATCGCTGAATAATGACTGTGTCCGCCCGCATGGATGTTGGATAGACTACTGATTGCTAAACTGAGCGTACTAATCTGTCCCAAAATAAACAGGAGAGCACAAGCTCTAATAAAAAATTGATGTATTCCATTCAGGAGAGGCCTCTTGCACCAAAGTAGCTAGGCTAGGTAGAATTGAAAACCGATTTCATAATTACCTAGCCTGCGGTGGTAAATTCTTTTGCTCCAGCTCATAACGTAAACCTACAGGTGCTTGGTGGAGTTTATAGGTAAAATATCACGGTAGGTTCTTGAAGTGGGTGTCCAGTGCAACAGCAACCCAGCATTGATGCAAGAGATTTTGGTGCGACAGGCCTCGGTCACAATGCGGTGCCCAATCTCGCTGACATGTTCTCAGCTTAGCGACCCCTCGTTCCCTGTTCGCCGTGCTCCATGAGACCGTGAGTTCCGCGTCGGAGGCGTCACCGCCTGCGTCGGATCCGATGTCGGCCCTGTTTATTGGTTCATGGTGACGCTTGGCCACGTCCGCCTCTTGCGCACCGCGTTCGTCTCTGTCGTGTCTAAGCTGTCTCAGCCACGCCACAGCCGTCTCAGCTGAGTCACCACCGTCTCAGCACCGTCTCAGTCGCGTCTCAGCTGATTCACCGTCGTCTCAGCTGCGTCACCTCCGTCTTAAAGGGACCCTCCCACCTTCAAAAAAGTTTATGAATTGGCATGAAAGTGATGTCGCTCGGTTCAGAAAGAGCGAAAACGAATATCTACCAAATTTCACCGAAAAATATTCACCGGTTTTCAAGATATTAGACTTTTACTTTTGTTTACTTTTTTGGGATCTCCGCTGTTTCTAGCGACTTTATTTTAGGAGTGCGGCGTTTGCGGCAGATGTTGCGCGCAAATAGCATATACCACCGCGTGCTACAAAACGTTTTAGTCAAACATTTAAAAATCGTTAGATATTTGCGCTGACGTCACACATTCAGAGGGGTATTCCTAAGCATTAGCCCCTCTGAATCAAAATGCTGCAATTTTGAAATTCAATATTTCCGATTTAAGGCATTTCTCGATGTTGTGAGTGCCGAAACCGGTAATTGTGAGCCAGGGACCCCATTTTGGCTATCTCAACTCAAATCTAATGTTAAGGTGGGAGGGTCCGCGTCGCCGCCGTCTATACTGCGTCACCACCGTCTCAGCTGCGTCACCACTGTCTCAGCTGCGCCGTAACCACAGGGACGTGCTCGGTGCAATACGGCGCCACGGCGGGGCACTGTGACCGCAGTTGGAGGACCCGGCTGACCAAGAATGGCCCAGCTGCCTCGTAAAGCCGTTAGGTGTAATGCCGCGCGAAGGCGGAGGGAGATGGTCCAGACAGAGGCAGACGGCTGAGACACAGGAGCGGCTGGCTCATCCGTCCGGCGTTCCACCGGCGACACAGTGCGGGACGTGGTCACGGAGAATTAGATGATGGGCGGCACTGAATCAACTTCCAACGAGCTCCCAGCTGTACCGCGAAGTGGCGGGCAGAGTTATGGCTCAGTTAATGGTTTTCAAGGAATGCCAGTCTGATTTAAGCGATTCTGTAAACAACTGGTGGCATGGTATGTTTAACATGCATATTAGCTATTGAGATGTTAATGGAACATTTGATCATCACGGAATCAGATTAAACGTTGAATTGAGAAGGATCAGTTGAAGGCCAAAAAGTCTGAGAAAGCACTAATTCCTGGAAAAGTCTGAAGAACTTCAGACAATTCACATTCAATCAAGCGGAAGTTAAGTTTGTAACTGAACATAGCAAACATCACACTGATGGAAGTGGATTTCGGACTATTTCACTTCCATTGCCAAAGTTGATCGGCGAGTCCCAGTGAAATACTGTTCTGTGACTCTTACCGAGCTAATTGGCATTAAAATGGCTCCGACACTGGAAAAGGGAGAAAATAGACCCATCGAAATTCACATACCTAGCCGATGTATTTAGTTACAAACGAAATCAGCTACTTTTAAACATAATGCTTAGTTTGATGTAATTACGATTATTTAAAATTTTGTCATTCGGGAATACACCCAAGTATTGAAAGCAGCGACTATTCTGCACAGCTTTAAGGACGGATCCTTCTAAAAGTCCAGTCCTATGCTGGAGCTCATAATTCATTCACAGCCACCGTGCGGCGCTTGCTGCGCAAGGTGCCAAGTGGCTGGCGCTCCGCCCGACTAATTTAGGATAGACTGTGCCGCATCACACGGGCTCCGTGCGGCACAGTCTAACGGCCAGAGGCGTCGAGGCGCCGCGGCTCGCTGCAGGACTTTAGAGAGGAGCTATGGTTGCCGGCAAGAAATAGTTGATGTGTTGTTTTTAATGCGACCAGATTGCAATGATCACCATTTGTAGACACCAAAACGTGAAGGGAAATTGAAGCAGAATAGAAGAGCCGAAGACAGAGAGGGAAGGAGTGCAGGAGACGAGTCAGGGCCGACAGCCGGCTCGGAGCCGGCTGGCCGTGATTCGGCAGCCGGTGACAGGCGGCCGGCCGGGCGGACGGCTCGGCCCATTTGTTCGTCTGAGGACGGGCGGCCGATCGCTGCCGCGGCGCATTGTCGCATCCTCTCGGTATTCTCCGTACGGCAGCGGCCGCAGAGCGGCGGGATCCGCGGCGGCCGCGGACGCAGCTGATTCGGCCGGCTTAAAGTCGTGCGGCGCGCCCGCCGGATCGACCGGAGTCGTTGAGATTCCGCGGCCGTCGGCGCCTGGTCAGTGGTTTTTGTGTCGTCCATCACCGGAGACGTCGAAAGGACATCGGACAACCGACAGGACCGGGTCAGCACGGCATCAGAGAGAGAGAGAGAGCTGACAGCCGACCTCTTGGGGTGACAAACCCTCTCCCGGTCCGACGCATCACGATTGGCTGAGTGGTGTGAGCTTTGAGCACTCAAGGTTTCCTGAGAGGATATGAGAGGTCATCTCTGCTCACTGCTTGTAAAGAGGCATAGACATTTGTAGACCCTATTCAGAGACAGAGGCCTATAGAAAAGCTGAACACCGCGCCGGCTCGTTGCAAGGAAGCGTCTCCGCCCTCCGGTGCTATATTCGCACGCCAACTGCGCCCTCCCCTTTCTTGCCGGCGGTAATTGTACTAGCAGTGCTCCCAAACACGGTAACCGATATGGGTAATATTTATACCCGCAGGCGTCACCGCGTGACGGGGGCGTGACGGGTGCGCCACCCGCCGCGCCGGCGCAGAGACAAAAACGACGCGGAATGGCAGAGCCAACACCGCCGACTGGGTGAGGTTTGCCGTGTAACAGGGGTCGTGACCTGACCTCAGAGGTCGAACGGCGGCTCGTGGTGAACGGTGAACGGGTTTCGTAATGTGTGTGCCGAAAAGAAAAGGGAAAGTGTAAACGGTGCTCGTCATTAAAATGCATGTGACGTTTAGACTTGTTTAGTGGACATCACGAAATGCTTTTAGCTGGGTGTTTCCATGGAAGCTTGGGCACATTCCGAAACTCTCGCACCAGGCCCTGCACCGCACATTATGCACACCCAGCAGGGTGGCAAAAACAGTTTCAACGAGATTACGGTGAAATTTTAAAGGACATAATGTTAGACTTCAACCACCCACATCAGCCTTAAATACACTGCACTTCATTTTCTCTCTTGAGCCAATTCAATCGCCCACAAAATTCGCGCTTCACCACGGCACAGATACCCCACTTCTGTCCTAACTAGCAGCTCATCATTTCAATCATCCCCGATGATCGCCCTCAGACCAGTCTGGCTTTGGTTCGGTGTCTGCCTAAGATAACGACACTAATCCATCCATCATATGCACATCGGCTGCGTTTAACTGGTAAACTGGCGCGACATTTTTCACATTAAGCCGTCCCGTTTAGCACTGAGAGTCACGTAACCATTCATCAAGTTGCGGTCATTAATTTCTTAGTGTAGGGAGGACCGCAAACGGTCTTAATCTGTCTCAACGCATCAACTACCGCACTGATTAGCTCTGAAGTTACGGGGTTACACCGCTATCTATTTGTGTAATGGGGTCAGACGTTTGTTATCAAGTCAAAAGTCATATGACTGAGCAAAATTAATCGTACTATTTTTTTTTTTTTTTTTTGAAGACATAACATGTAAGGGATTTCCACATGTTACTTTTAGGTAACTACTAACTAATAATAGGGTTTGTAGAAGTAATGTCAACCACATATGGTTTGAAGTTACTCAAATGCAATTTACAACATCATACGTGCTAATCAACAATTACATTTATGTAGATAACAAGGCATTGTATAAATTAATGCAACGCCATGCTAATTATTTCAATGGCATTGGAAACAGGGATCCTTGAGGTTTTCTTTAAGCTTCCACAAGCGTCTTCTCTTTTGACGAAAAAGTTTGTCCAAGCTACTTGTTTCATGAATATATGATTGACAGGTGCTTGACATATGAGAACATAAATCACCCGCTACCCAAAAATCTACCGAACTGACGACTACCTTCGTGTCAACAAGGCAACAATATCGCCAACATATCCTCATGTTTCCATTTTCCAGCGAGCGGAGGTCCGTTGCTGTGGCTTTGCCCGCGGTCGGCTGCCGCTGTGCCGCTGAAATCAGAGCCCCTCTGGCAGTGGGCCACTGCGCGGCGCAGCGTTTTTCTCCGATCCCGGGTAGCAGAGCCCCAAGGGAGCAGCGGCCCCGCTCCAGACATGACCACCAGCCCGGCATGTTAGTCCAGGTCCAAACAGCGTGAAATTAGCCCAGCCGTGCAGGCCGAGTGCAGAAACAGCGATAACGAGAGATAATTCGACCCAGTCTGGAAATGAATCGGCCGGACTCGGCGTCCAGAAATATAAATTTTCAATTTCTTACAAGTTAACGAAGCATGTCATCAGGATTAAGTGGCAATTAAGAATAAAATATTTTATTCTATTGCACTCAAAATCTTTAAGTTAAAAAATGATCTTCGACAACTTTTCTAGAATTAGCGCAGCGAAGCCTTCAACCGTTCAACGTAAATGTATATAGTGAATAAAGGGCTGCAATCATATGTGTTGCTTGCATAATAATTGTGTAAGAATTACGGGCAATTATAGTTCGTAATTGCAATTGCTCGTGTAGTAACAATGAAATGAGAAAAATAACAAATAAGGTATGGGGTTAGGTACAATAATGGTCTGTTTACACAAAAAAAAAATACATGAGGATACAATAGTCAAGGCATCTTTGGGCAATATCAATAGAAACAACAAATAATTCACAATCGAAAAATGGGCTCGGTGTCACTCACCTTCGTGATCGTCGCCGAGTCCCCTCTGCACGGCCATGGCTGCGGTCCGCCGGTCCTCTATCGCCGCTCCCGTCACTGCCGAGTCCCGCCCGTAATCAGTCCGACACACCTCATTCCGTATATCACAGCCAGTCCCGGTCGGGCGCGCGCGTCCGGTGCCTCGCGCGCCGCGCCTGCCGCCGCACTCTCAGCGACCCCCACTGCCGCGAACACCCCGCTGGAGCCGCGCATGCGCCCTGCACCGTCCGCGCGGCTGCACATCTGGTTCCTCGCGCGCGGCGCCAAGAGCACGCACCGCTGCCGGCGGCCAGCGCCTGCCGCCGGCAGTGTCCGAATGTGAGGGCGGTTTTCAGAATTTGGTCGAGCGGTAGAGGGTGTCGTCGTTTGGCGAGCGGGGCACCTGGTAGTGCCCGACGTCGAGCTCGCGCGGCTGGCCAGCCGAGAAGGAGCGCGGAAAGGTCATGATGCGCTGCTGCTCGGGCTCCAGGTAGTCGGCGTGCTTGTAGGGCGGCGGTGCGCCCGACTGCTCGATGAACAGCTGTCGTTCGTTGTCAGTGGCAGTCGAGATGGAACTGTTACCCACAGAGTCGGCGAACGAGACTGAGGGAAGCGAGATAAACGGTCACGGAAATGTGTCACTTATATGTGTCATCGTCATAACAAGTTGGGACAGTTGGAGTGCTTTCATATTTGCATTCGTCGATGGTTTGGATGGCCACGAAATTGCCCGTTATGGTAATATCATTGATAGCGACAGAACTTCGTGATTTACGAGTTAAGATGAAATTCATGATTCATAGGCTGACAAACGAAGCAGAGCGGAGCGGGGAGACCTGCAATCTTATGAATGTTTGAAGCAAAATGATCGGCGCCTGCACTACAAAACCGACCACCGTCATTCCACTCCTGAGTCTTCCCCCGCGCCACTGACCTCTGTTGCAGCGGTCTGAGGTGAAGCTGCGTGGCACCGTGCTGATGGTGCTGACCCGACAGGGGTGCGTCACGGCCACCTCATCCACCTCCTGCAGCACGTCCTCGTCGTCCGTCAGCATGCCGCCGCGGCTGTCCAGCCTCCCCAGAGAGCCCGTCGAGTAGCTGTACATGTTGGCCACGCCGCTGCCCGTCGATGACGAGTGCATCCGGTACATAGGTCCTGCGGCGCGCCGGCGGGAGGGGGACACGTCAGGGAAGGCGAGGAGAGGCCCTGTTGCGTGTGTGGTTTCATTTGTGTTTTATGGTTACGATTCCCATTTCATTCATGCGAAATTGGAGAGTGGTATTTGGAACGTCGTAGCCACCAGGGAGTGGTTTCAGTTGACAAGTCAGAGGTGCATTTCAGTTCATAATTCATTGGCGCAGTTTACGTAAAAAGCGGTGCATTTGACGTTGCAGCTCGTTTTCTAGTTTTACTAACCTCCATCGGCTCTCCGTTTCTTGTAGGAGCGGCAGGACTTCCAGAAGATGCAGATGGCCGTGATGACGAGGATGACGGTGATGATGGTGCCGAACACGACGCCCATCACCAACGGCATACTGCTGGTGACCAATGACGTCATTGGAGTCACAGTCAGCATCACAGTCCAACGGGAGGACATCGTCTCGACACTCCTTTGAGGTCATTAGATGAATACAGAATCCGCAAAACAATATCATGTTCACGAAGTGAAGTCAGGTCAAAAAGGACGACAAATATTGCACACTACCGCAGAAGTAAAAAAAAAAATGAAATACTCTGATTTAGATTCTTTTAAATCACTCCTCATCTCTGCATTGCATAACCATGATCAATTAGAACGAGTCCTCATCTCGTCTCTCTGAGCACCGAGTTATCGAGGTCCAGCGACCGTGGCCAGTGCGGGGACCCGGCCTTCTTGGGAAGACGTGTCTGAGGACGCAGCCAGCTCTAACGAGCGGACCGTTCGACCGCAGCTAACAAGCCGGTCGCCGGGCCCGCCGGCACGCGGCTCCAGCGAGGGAAGCACCTCTTCAGTGGAGTGGTCCGTCTGCATTGGAAGGAACCGGCGAAAAACCTCCTCGGAGCTTGACAGAAGTTCGGCTCCATTAAAGGTGAGGGTGTGGTTCCCAGAAGGATGTCGAGCTAACACGGCGGGAATAAATGAGATGTGGCATGAATAAGTGTTGTCTGAGTGCTGTAGAGATAAGGGAGTGGGTATACATATGATTTTAAGGCACGCAGTTTAAGGAAGAGCAAAGGGTTGCTGAGTCCTTTTTCTGCGTCGTCTACCAATGCTTAATCTCAGGCAGCTTTTGCCAAATTGTCAGGGAACTCAGATTTGTTTTTCAATAGAAAACACAATTCTAAAGAATAGTGTTTTAACTATTGACAACAAACCTTCGGTTATCCCAGTTTACATAGTAATATTGCTGTGCGTTCCTGCATGACACGTTTACGTAAGAAAACAGCTCTAAGAAGAGTGGGTCACCACAACCGTAAATCAGCTTACATCAGGGGCTACATCACAACTCCTCTCCGCCACATAAAGAGCTTGCCGTACATTCGCACCGAGTCACAACAGTGGCCGACGTCATGTCACAACACTGAGCTCATATCCGCAGTATTTCAGAGGCCTTACGTCAGGGCATGTCCTCTCTTAAATGAATGCAGTGTGAATTTTCAAAAGTTGATGTCAGTCTATATGGAACTCGGAAGGTTTCGGCTCACCAGAAAATAAATCATTGACCTTTTGAGCTTAAAGATAACCTATTTGCACGAAAAATCAGCCTACACTATACAGTGAACAGTTAGCAACACAGCCATTTTTAACACTTTGGTCTGTGCAGAAATATACGTCGCTGGTATGAAAAGCCATACAGCAACTGCTGAAGCTTACGAGACGAGGTCATAACGCTCACTCAACCGCAATTCATATGGACGTTGGCTCGATATGTTCATCTGTAGTGTGATTCAGGCCAGCCCATAACCTCTTTTCTTGGTGGTGTCATAACTGAGGAGGCGTAATAAATTTTGTCATTCATGCATTTATATCCTTACATCTTCACTGATGGTGTCTGGTTGAATGATAACAAACGCCCATATCGTTTCATTCACTGTTCAAGGCAAGATCATGATGTGATGAGTGGTTGCAGTGTGTGACTTGATCAATGCTCGTCCGGCAAACGAAAGAATCTTGCCAGCGTTATTTGCTCCAGGCCAAAGTATCGCTCTTAAAAGCCACCGCTGCTGTTGGAAGTTGGAGCAATTGTTTTAAAAGAGATCAGTAAAACCAGAGCTTTGAGGAGCTGTGAAGTGCCTAAATCCCAGCTGAGTTGAAAGCGGTGTCTGGATTTTAATCACAGCTGTACTTCATAGAAGAGTGTCGGTTCTTAGTGCTGGAAGCCACCGTGACCCTGCACCATTACGGAGGAATCGTCCCTGTTTCTACGACTTGCTCCGCCGGCCGGGGCGATTTGGCAGTGGCTGCGCTCTCTGTCACTCCCGCGAGAGAAAGAGGAAAAGAACAGGAAACGATGGGAGCGCTCGGCGTCCCGCCAGCTCCCGTCTCTCACTCGGCGCTCTCTGTCCGCCCTGCGGCGCCCCTCTCTCCCCCTCTCCCCGTCTGCTGAACATTGCCCCGCGCCGCACAGAAATACCCACACACACACGCGCGCGCTGCGAATGAATTACAACTGCGAGCGAGCTGGTCTGGAACGGTGCCCGATGTGTTGGGTTGTGGAGAGTTTGTGTGATTTCTCTGCCGAGGATGGGACAGGACGCACTTTGCACAGCTTGTGCTGGCCGGTGACGCTGTATTTGTAGAGGTGATGGATGGGTAAAACATGGGATTATAAGTTAGCTATGTGTGTGCAACACGGCTTATGCTTGATGGGACAAACTGCTCACTGATGAGAGATCGAAAAAGGAAGAGAAAGAGAAAGAGGGAGTGAGAGAGAGAGAGAAAGAGAGAGAGAGAGAAAGAGAGAGAAGGGGGAGTGAGAGAGAGAGAGAAAGAGAGAGAGAGGGAGGGAGAGAGAGAGAGGGAGAGAGAGAGAGAGAGAGAGAGAGAGAGAGAGAGAGAGAGAGAGAGAGAGAGAGAGAGAGAGAGAGAGAGAGAGAGAGAGAGAGAGAGAGAGAGACTCCTGGTCCTATGTGAGTACACCCGAAGTTCACCAATCGGAACCGCATCCACCGTCCTATTTCCAGACTCTCTCTCTCTCTCTCTCTCTCTCTCTCTCTCTCTCTCTCTCTCTCTCTCTCTCTCTCTCTCTCTCTCTCTCTCTCTCTCTCTCTCTCTCTCTCTCTCTCTCTCTCTCTCTCTCTCTCTCTCTCCATAACGATCATCCCAACCCCGTTCATCTCTCCGTCTTTGCTTCCATCTTTCATGGCTTGACGCTCGTTTCCGAGCGCTTTTTTCGCCATTTGTATGTCTCTCCCGCGGCAATTTGGGCGCGCTGTTTGCGCGCGCTCGGTCGCTAAATCGGCCCGGAAGGACGCCCGCTCCCGCGTTGACGGCTCGTCTATTCCATCGATCCGTCTGTCCGTCTGGCACTCATCGTCTTCGGTTACGTCTATTCGCACATTTCGTGTGGTTGTGCCTGGCTCCGGCACATGTCAGACTCAAATGGGAAGTCACGCCAGTAGCAACAGTTTGTTATCCCTGTTTGGTTAAGGCAAATGGAACTGTGTCATTATTACTGATGGCATACCTTATGGTGATTTCTAGCTGCAGAGACACGCCCATTCCGGGACTAAATTTATTAAAAAAGAAATCGGATTCATGCTGAATTTGTCAGGGTAGATGCATCCTTGAAACAAGCTGAAAAATAAACATAAAAATTAAATAAACAAACTTGGAAATAAACGTTCGCTTTGGTAGGTACTTACCTACTAAAAACAAAGATAACAGATCTGTTACCTTTGCTGCACACAGTGCTGCCGAGGTTTTAATATCAACATCAATAAGGTGTCTAACAGACTCTGATAGCAAATCATGTCATTCATTCATTCATCTATGTATAGCTTTGTTCAGAACAAGTGATTCAGATGCTCCCCGGTGTCCGGTTGTTACAGTGTGCCGTATCGTTCGACTCACTTGTCGCTGTAGGTGGAGGGGTCGGCCTCGTCCCTGGTGGTGCAGCAGTAGCGGTACGTGGACGTGCCGCAACAGAACACGGCGTCCTCCTCCAGCTTCGGGCACGGGAAGCCGTTGTTCCATTTGCCGAAGCTGTCCACGTAGCCCGAGCAGAAGGCGTCCCGACTCAGAACTGCAGACACAGGAACACCGAGCCGTATGAAATTAAACTGCGACTCTCGCAATAAGCTCGGCAATATCATTCTTGTTTGGATATTGCAGCACAGTTATCTAACGTGGGCTGCTGTGTTTCCTACAGCGATGCTTTGTTTTCTATTTGCTTGAAAAATGAAATCAGGAGACGTTATTCAAGTCGGGAAAGTGCGTGTCGGTCGCGAATCGCGATATACAGTTGTTCATTTTGAGCTTGGCTATTTGCTGTGACCATAGACACCTACACAAGTGTGTTTTGGTGCTTCGATAAAGATGCTCAAGAGCAACGATTTATTTTCTCTGAACTTTGCAGTCGATCAACCTCAGAAGATCACAGACAAAGCCAGTAGCCCCAGAAGCCAGAAGTGCTACACACCATATCAACAGCAGTAACCCCGGGCATCATAGCCGTCATATCTCATCGCTCCCGCCCACCTATATCTCCATACTCGCCGAGTGGCGCCCCGGCAACTACATCTCTCTCGCAGCTGAGCCGCACAATAAACATCATTTATACCGGCGAGACGCCGCCGGTGACGATAATCCGCCCCCATTGGCCGCTATTGAGTGCGCCGTGAGGACGGCCGGCCGGCTCGGCCCGTCTTTATCGGCCGGCTCCGGCTCCCCCGCCGGAGCCGTCCGCCTGCTGATGACTGAGAGGGGAGCCGCCGACGGAAGCCCCGCTCCCCGGCAGGTGAAGAATGACTCCGTTCAGGGCGGCTGTATGACGACAATTTGTCATCGTCGACCCTGATACGATCAATGATGAGGGCGAGACGGCCGGCCAGCGCTGTGGCAGCCTCGACCGCAGCGTCAGATGAAGGGCCGACATCTCATAGTTCTGTCAGAGGCGCCGCTACGCGTCACCATTACTGAGAGTGCCTGCCGGGTAGACTGTTCCGCATGACACCTGCGCCCGGAACAACGCGTCGGTATGGTAAAGGCAGAGCAGTTGCCTTGTAATAGAAAGGTCTAGAGATTTGAGGTGAAGGGCCTGACACTAATTGGGTATGGTTTGATGATTTTCTAACAAATGGTTCTCGGAGGATTATGGGAGCCATTGCGACCATTATTATATCATGGCAGGACATCGATCACCCGAAATAGCAACAGCTGAACCTGACAGAAATGGCCGGCTATTCTGGGCTTCAAACAAAAGTTTGACAGAAATACCTCTCGTAAATGCTGTTTGAGATGCTCGTCCAAATCCAGATCTCCTCTCGTTGCAGTAATCCATCAGCACCACGCCGGCATATGCTATAGAGTCAAAGTCATCTGTTTCCACCCCCATTATCATACAGCACTGATGACATAAAGGCGTTTGCGACGACAAGAAATATAGACGTCAATCGGGCAAAGTCTCATCTCAAAATGAAAATCAGTAAGGATGAAATGGATAGGTATCATTTAAAAATTTTGACAAAACGGTTTGCGATTACATCACTATCTTTGACAGCTGAATTCATCAGGCGAAAATACAGTCACCTCAGTCAAAGGCATCAATTCCAAGAGATGCAATATTCAGCAACAATAACACAGAGAGCATTTTCACCATTCCACCTACCCCTGATCTGATACCATTCACCAACGCTTATTCGCGGCAGGCGGCACTCGGGCAGTTCGAATCGAATTCCTGACCCCGGCCAGCAGACTGACTATAAACATATCCGGTTCGCTAGCCGCAGCGCCGTGACAGAATGATCGATCTGCTCCCCTCTCCCCGCCGCCCCGCCCCGGGCGTCCGTCACTGTCACGCGCTTCTGGCTGGCACCGGCTCAGCAGCCGACCGACGGACGGCGCGCATACTTAATTCACGAGCTGACGGTGCGTGACGATTGACGTCACGTCGTCGCCACGACGCAGCGTCACAAATCGTCACAGACAGGCGAGCGAACCGTGACCTGATGACCCGACCCACGCCGGGTCGATCATCGGCTGACCGTCAACTGGAGTCATGATATGCTGGAGTCATGAAACACAACTGTATGATTGTGCATGACTATTATATTACAGAAGTACCCCCACGTTTGTATGCTTTGGTGTGGTTGGATGCTGCTTCGTATCACCCGGAGACAACAGGCCGAGAGTGGTTCTCGATTCAGTCCCTAGAATCTAGATGGCAGCATAGGTTAGCGCCTGAAGGTAGGCTGTGCCGCAAAGCTCAATAACAGCCATGAGAGTCGGGAGCGAGACACCGAGTAGCATCTTCGGAGAAAGAAGCTCCTTCGGAAAGGAAGAAGAATGACAAGAAAATTCCACACTTTCATAGACACAAACTGTGTGGTGGGCGAGAAAAATAGTTGATCCTGTGTTTATCATCCTGCATAAAACCTCGAGCTAAAGGAATTCTAAAAAAAAAAACAACGTGGCAACGCATGCGGCAATGAATATGATTCTTAATGATACATGCCACCATAAAAATTCAACCTAACTTTAGTTTGTGAAATAACAAGTAGGTGAACAATCTCGTCTAACGACTACATGCATCACACCAAAATTCATCCATATTGCTTTCTGAGGGCAATACATATACTCAACTCAAAGTCATGTGGCGTTAATACGGATTCATAACATTACCACGTAAAGCTGAGTGCTAGCCCAAATCCAGCACCCTCCCCCGCCTCCCCAAAGCTCCCGCCGTCCCGGAAGGTAGCTCGTTACGCCGCCAGCGCCGCCACATAATCTGCGGCCAATTAAGATTTCGCGCCACGATTGGCGCCGTTCACAAATTAGGCGCGCATCGCGCTGCCGAGTTAACGAGACGAAGGCACGGCGGGTGGAGGGGGCGGGGATGGGGATGGGTGGGTGGGGGCGTCAGCCAGCGCGGCCGACTGGCTCGTTGCAAGCGAGTTATGCGGATGCGTGGCCAAACCGCGAAGCTGTTATCAGTCACGGCAACATCATCGCATGGTATCTTATCAAAGGTATGTGATAAATATTTCGACGGATGACAAATCACAGCTAGACGTTTGAGTGACCAAATATGGAGATATCTGAGAGAAAATGTCGCATACATAAGGCAAATTTCAAAAGTTGCTGGTGGTTCTTCGATAGTGGCTGACGAAGCAGCGCCGGTCAGCAAAATGTCGTATCAACCACCCATCATCAAAGCCGTGTTTTGTCCACGAAGCAGTACAGATAGATAGGGAGATTTATCAGCGAGATAAAATGATTCCGTGGAAATATTGCCAGCCTGAAACTCAAAGTAAAAATACGGACGTCAACAGGCTAGCTGCCTTTCAAGCACAACATGTCAGCTAACCGTCAACAGTTTTCAGGGTTGTTGTGTTTCTTTCTGATGTTCACCATTTTTCTCTATCTTATTGTTTGAGCGTCAAATATGTGTCGCTGGCAGCTCATATAGTTCCCCGCTTCGTATAGTCAACAGAACCAACAAAAGAGCTGCTGTCCGTCTTCCAAACTGTCAGTGGACGAGTATCACAAAGAACAGCGACCGCCGCTGCAGCCATGCGGCAGAGCGGAATTCTGCAGACATTAAACACAGAGACTGAAGACCATGTCACTGCCGCGGTCCCACAAGGGCTCTTCTATGGTCTCTCAAAGTACCATGACGCAGTTTCTCCATACAACTACACGCCAAAAAGATAGCGCAGATAGCCGATAAGAGACATTTACCAGGTTAGACGACGGGTCATATAAATACCGGAAACAACCGATCACATATGAAGCATCATCTTGACTAAGATTGATGCCCACTGATCTCCAATTCATCTCTGACCCCCGTTTGAAGTGACACCAGCCTGCCACTCCGCTGAGATTCGCTTGTTATACGCCGTCTCTCCACTACTGGACACATGCCACAGCGGCAGACAGATGGACGGACAGCGGCGAACGATATCAGACGGACCGGAAAGATTTTGGGCTAGCGGAGCAACGAACGGTCGGACAGCCGGATGGACGGACGGATGGACGGACAGACGGGTGGACGGACGGATGGACGGACGGACGGACGGACCGAAAATCGAAAGAACAAGCGGCCAGTCTACTACTGGACGTTGGGCAGATGGCAACCGGACAGAGAACAGATAGATGGGCAGACGGTCGGACAAACAGCTTGGTAGTAGGACATGCGGACAGACGGACAGCCCTACAAACAGCTTGGTAGTCAGACTTAGGACAGACTGACGTACAGACGGGCAGACGGACGTAAAGACGGACAGACGAACATTCGGACAGACGGACGGACGAACAACTGCTCCGGTCAGGCGGACAGACAGCTGACGGTCGGTCGGACGGACGGACAGACAGCCCGGCATTCCTCGGTTGAGGGGTGTCAGGAGGCGGTGCTGGTCCGCCAGGCCCCACTCCACCCGCCGCCAGGCAGTCTGGCTCTGTGACCTCTTCCGACCGTGGCTGGAGCCCGGGTTGGCGCCAGAGCACACACAGGTGTTCTCTGAGAACCGGGCACGGTCGGCGAGCCTACGGCGCACGGCGAGAAGTGCCGTAAAGCCGACCGGGAAGGTTGCCAAGGCGCCGGTTACACGGGAAAAGTGGATGCAGAGAAGAGGAACGTAAGTTTGATTTAGTTTAGTTATCTCACTATGGTTTTGTTGCATATTGTCTATGACACATTTTGACAAGATCCCTTAGATGACGTTCTCTAAGGCATGTTAGTCTGCCATTTAACTGGGCTAACTATTGTAGTCTCTGGCTTCGTGGCAAACAGAGGAACATTTTTAATGTCGCACTGACATGTGATGAACTGCGTTACCGTCACCATTTGCACTGTCGCTGTGATAAAGTGCGCACGATGCGCCTGTCGCCGCCGACTCGGGCCACGATAGATGTCATGTTTTCTCTGGCGAGTATGGCAGGAGTTCGCGGAAGGCTGCGAGCCGGCTGCGGCGGCTGCGACGAGAGCTGGCGAGAGACACACGTAAAACATGCCTCACATGAGCCGGGCCAGCCGCCAAACAGCCCCGAACAACACACACACGGGGAGGGGAGGGGGTAGCAGTC